TCCCATCTGCTTTTTTATAAAGATGGCCACTTAACTTTTCAGTGGAGCCAGTTTGATCCGCTATTGGGTTGGTCATATTCTTTACCTATTGCACACTAATCAGGTCCCCATTCCCCCAGATAGTTAGGTTAAACGCACCTGACAGAGACAGAGGATGCTCTCATAGATCTGGGTCTAGTGCTGTGTCTCAGCTTACTGGGTCTGGATCTACCGAGTTCGAACTCATTCAGCTGAGCCTGGCTTGGGTCTGGCACCTGTGCTAGGCTTCTTCCTGCTTTAGCCTGTGGTAGTGAATCCCCTGTGCCCTCCTGGCCAGGTGTTCTGCTCAGGAATTAGCTGGCTGGGTCTGACTCCTAGCTTCTTGGCCCAGAGTTCTGCTGCAGGGTTCCACACCACGCCTGTCCCCTGGAGGAGGTTCTGGCAGGCAGTGGGTGCCACACGCTAGACCTGTCCAATGTGCTGTGCTGGCTATCTCTGATAGTCTTTTCAATGAGAGTAGCAAGTGAGTATAAATCTAGGTAAATTAAGGAACAAGGATTGGAGGTTAATGGTGATTGAGTTTATTCTGAATGTACAATAACATGTCTATCACTCTCATAAATACTTCATAAATGAATTTTAAAATACGGCATTAGCTACAAGCTACAGGTGTGAAAACTCTATAGAGATAAACGTAGTAAAGTTCTTAAAACTTCTACCAATGAGAAGAGAAAAATACTTAGAAAAACATGAAACAAATGTTTGTATGTAAAATTTATAGATGGAATAACAGGAACTGAGGTATTAGCTAATTCCAGGTGGACATAATGTCTCAACCCAATTGTATTAAAAATTTGAATCTGTTTTGTGATGAAAATTGCAATTTGTTATAGGAGATAAAGATATATCCTACCATTCATGAAGTATTATTAGTTACAGCTATTTCCCTGGAAATTAAAAATTATGTAGCTCAAGACGGTTTTTCAGTATTTGTTTCTTAATTGAATGAATATCCAAGCCAGCACTCACAGAGGTTAATTAACTGGTATGTAGGTTTGCCCATTAGGTTTTAGTTTAAAAAGATACTGCCATAAGTAAGCCAGATAAATAAGAAGAAAAAACTGCATTGTCCATTGCTTCATAAAGATACCCAGTGTTACCATGGAATTAATCCTTATACAACACTCTTCCACTTGGTGTCTAAAACAATAAAAACAACAACAATGAAAACAGCATGGCTCAACTAGTCCAATGAACTTTTTTTTTATTTATTTAGTACAGAGTCTACAGGGTCTCACCAGTAGATCCGACTCAGTGATTCTCCTGTTTTCAGCCTCCCAAGTGCTGGGATTATAGGCGAGCCACCAGGCCCAGTCTCAATTGCCATCTCAGCACAACCCCGGGGACAGAGCCAGCATGGCACACTGGAGATCGAACCTCAGCCACTGTGCTCTGACTAAGCAGATCCTTTAGTCCACTGAGCTATCAGGCTGGCCCATAATGAACTTCTGTATGGAGGAGGTTGTCAATAAGAGAGAAATACTTAACCTGGACTAATAATGTTTTTTTTCCCCACTATATATGGAACAGTGTGTGAGGTGTCCAGATCATATGTATGCAAACATTCAGAGAAATCATTTCCTGCAAAAATTTGCAACATTTCTGGCTTATGAAGATCCTCTGGGGAAGATGCTGGCTGCTACAGCCTTGATTGTTGCTATTCTCACAACTGTTGTTTTTGGGCCTTTTGTGAAGCATCGAGACAGCCCCATAGTCAAGGCCAATAATCAAAGGCACAGTTATTTCCTGCTCATCTCCCTCCTCTTCTGTTTTCTCTGTCCTTTGCTCTTCATTGGCCACCCCACCATAGCCACCTGCATCCTTCAACAGACCACATTTACAGTGGTGTTCACTGTGGCTATTTCCACTGTCTTGGCCAAACTATGACTGTGGTTCTGGTCTTTAGGGTCACTACTCCAGCAAGAAGAATGAGACAACTGCTGCTGTCAGGGACACGTACAACTATTATCCCTATGTGCTCCTTGATTCAAATCACCATCTGTGGAATCTGGATAGGAACAAAGCCACTCTTTATTGACAGAGATGCACACTCTGAACATGGCCACATCATCATCCACAACAAGAGCTCCCTCATGGTCTTCTACTATGTCTTGGGATACCTGGACTCCCTGGCCCTGGTGAGCTTCACATTGGCTTTCCTGGCCAGGAACCTGCCTGACACCTTCAATGAAGCCAAGTTTCTGACTTTCAGTATGCTGGTGTTCTGCAGTGTCTGGGTCACTTTCCTCCCTGTGTACCACAGCACCAAGGGGAAGGTCATGGTGGTCATGGAGGTCTTATCTATTTTGGCCTCCAGTGCAGAGCTACTGGGCTGCATCTTTGTCCCTAAGTGCTACATTATTTTGTTAAGACCAGATAGGAAACCTCTACATGGGTTTAGAAGTAAAATACATCCTTGGAGACCTAAGTCTTCTTCAGTTTAAAAACATGTTTCCTAAAACAGATTAGGGGGCTAAACTCAGAGCTGTACCATTTTTCAGATTGATAATAGGTTGCAATATGGGATTTATTTCAAAGAACAAATGACTCTAATTTCTTTCTCTAATAGTTTCATGATCATTATAACCTGTAGCTATGTACATGACAATCTAAGTTTAGATTTACATGTTTCATTCCCAGCTAAAGCAGCAATTCACATAGTTATTTTTGCATAATTGTGATTATATTATTCATTTTTACCTCATCTTTACCTTAGCTTTTTAGTTATATTACTAATTTCTTGATATATGAAATTTCTACCTATGCACCACTTCTTTAATCCCCTAATATATTTTATTACCTTTTACTTACCTTGAAATACTGTGCTTTATGTGTTAATTATAGTGTGTTTGGGAGAAGAGAATTCTGACTAACCTTATTGGCATATTGCTGACATAATAAGAAATAAGTCATTCACAGAAGGAAAATTACTGCAGGATTCTGTTTCTTTGAGTTCCCTGAAATAATGAAATTCAGTGGTAGTAGCTCAGTGGCATTCAGGGACTGAGACAGCAGGAAAAGGAAGTTAGGGCTTATGAAGACAGACTTCTAGTTTGATAAATGGAAAAGTATGAAAGCCGGCTGGTGGCATAGCTGCACACCAGTGGGAATGGACTTAAAGCTTCTGACCTAAATACTTATAGAGGGTTATAATTGTAGAGGCTATTTCAAATGTGAAGAAAATTTTAAATCTTATTTGTTAATACCAGTATATTTGTAACACTGTTCAAGGATGAGACCGAAAAGCATATTCGGTTCTCGTAATTGGAAAGCCACAAAACCTAGGAGCCTTGACACTCCGGGTGCCAGCTGCAAGATAAGCACATCTTAGCTAGAAGAGGTGTTCTGCTTACTTTCGAGTCCTCGGGTTACCAAGCAAAGCCAGCTCTGCTCAGTCTCAGACAATGATCGAAACTTTCCCCAGGTTATATGATAGTAAGCTTATTAGTTTCTATAACAGTAAATTCTGCCTAGCAATTAATAACAAAGACATGTGTGACCAAATATAGAATATTATATTATCTGTCTTTTTGTACTTCCTTCTGAAAACCTATATAAGTGATTGGTAACCTGAAGATGGGGCTAATGATTTGGAACTGAGACTCCCACTACAGTATTAGCATAATAAAAATGCCTTCGAAACTTCCTCTGGTGTTGTTGCCTTCCTCTTGGTCTGATCTTGAGTTGAACAGCATAATTGTGAACTTTATGTCCTGTGTATTCATTCATAATAAAAAGGGAAGGCTTTCACCATGATTCCCAAGCCACAGGCTCGCCTATAATTTTCCTTTGCCTGATCTTTACCTCATAATGAACAGAGGTTCCCATAGGGAGGTAGATAGTATATGCTAGATTCAGAATGATGTCCTGACTTGGCCTGACTTTTGCAGGGCACATGAGGTATGGATAGAATTGGGAGATGGGAAATATGGATGGGAAGGAAGGGGAGAAAGAGAGAGAGAGAGAGAGAAAGGGAGAGAGAGAGATATTGATTTTATGTTGCCGTGCTGAGGATTGAACTCACAGCCTTACATATTCTATACATGTTTCTGAGCTGCAGCTTGAGTCCTGGTAGGATTTTTTTTTAACTTTTCATTATGCTTCTCTGAGAATAAGGAGGTTAAGAGTGATGACACATCACTCATTAGCCCCCACCCTAGGGTCAGTGAGATAGCTGAGTGGAGTAAGCACCTGTATGGGTAAGCCTAGGGACTGGGGTTTGAACCAGCACCATATGCTCCACTAACCCTGCTCCCAGGTGTGCTGAGCTGGCCACCAAGACTTGGAGTAGTGATGCACAACTTCAATCTCAGTGCTGGGCTGGCTGAAAACAGTAGGATCACCACAAATCCAAACTGCAAATTGAGACCTCATACCAAGTACAGTAAAAGGAAAAAAATAAAGCCCCCACATTTAGATATTTAGATCCCAGAAATCCCAAGGCAAATTTAAAAGTATGGTAAGCATGAACTCTTAGATCATTATAGAAAACATCAAGCCCCACCCTCTATATTATGTAGATTACAGCTTCATTATGTATCCCTGTGTAAACTTACTTCAACTGCCCTGGTGGCCTACATACCTGGTGTTTATATTCTTTGAGTCTCTTGTAACATCTTATAACCAGAAAGGGGAGAGGCAACTAAAGCCAATTCACATGTCCACAAAATTGTACTTGTTCTAAGGATGACAGGAACTTTTAATTTTTAATGCCAGAGCTTTTTCTTCTGTTCTTTTCACTATAGTCCTCATGCCAGACTGTCTTTCTTTCTTCCATGCATGCAGAAAACGATTCTCAGAAGCCCTATGTGCACTTCTGAGAACCTACTACGTGCGGAGTGAATAAAAGAAGACAAGACAGCATGAGGAGCTTGCTACCATGCCACCCCACATTAGCTCACCCTATATTGCCTACAGTTTACTTTTATTTTTTCTTATTTATTTTATTTTTATTTTTACTTGGCCCGGTCTTGCTTTGCAGAGCTGGTTTCTCCCTTACCCCTCATTTTCAATTTTTCCATCTCAAATAAGTGTGAAGCTTTGCCATCGTTTTTGCTTGTTTCATGCAATTGTTTGAGACGAAAAGAACGTAGAAACCACCTCCAGGAGGTGTTACCACTTCAAAACCCGGTAACATTTTCACCTGTGTCTTAATACATATGTATGTATGCAAGTACCTAAGTACTGGGTATTGAACTTACAACCTTCACACTGAGCTACAGCTACACCCCCCTCAGCCCCCAGCTTTTTATTTTTAAGACAGCATCTCACAGAGTCACTGAGTTACTAAGGCCACCCTACAACTTGTGATTCTTTTGCCTCAGGCTGGGACATGCACCATCATGCCTGCCTTGCTAATATTTTGAAATGTGAATAGTATCAAATACAAAAAAGGTACACCTTTGTCTCACAGTTTGCCTTGGATATTGTTGATTTATGGGATTGTGTCTCATTTCAAATCTCAACCTACTTCCTCCCAAGACCACAAACGAGTGAAGTTTAAAAATAATTATCACTATATTCTTTCCAGTTGAGAATAGTATGTACACATAAGTAATTAATGCATTCACATAGGAGTTTTTGTGGTATCAGGGATAAAATCAGAGCCTTCACACAGAGCTGCACGGACAATACTTCTTCGTGTGATACACGGACGATACTTAGTGTGATACAGTAGCAGCGACCTGAGGCGCTAACTTGTCCGCCTTGGGTTGACCTTGGTATCCTCTAGCCTTGCACCCCAGAGTGGTGGGGTTTTATGTGTCCTCCAATCTGCTTCAGTTTGATAGGACCTTTAATAAAAGTCAAATGCAAGTGTCCCCATAGCTGTGCTAGGTCTTCCAATGTATACGAATTCTTGCCTCAAAAGCAGCCTCATCCACAGGTCCTTGATACTCAGCGAGGCAAGGAGAGAAAGGCCTACAGCTGAGAACCTGCCCCGGTTCCCCTCTACCCGGGCCAGGCCGTCTCCTGTCAGTCAGAGCGCCTGGGGGTGGGGCCTGGAGCCCTGCCCAATCGGAGGTAAGAACAGCCCAATGAGGCGCGCGGCCGGAGCGGAAAGGGCGGGCTCTCCCCGCCGGGCGTTTGTCCCCCGTGAGCCCACCCCGAATCCCTCACTGGGGTCCACTGACTTCTACCCAGGGGTTCAGGGCCGCTTTGCCTCTGCCCCTTTGCCCTGTCACCTGCCTTGTGGGGACCCGAGGCGAGAACCTGGGAATCCGGTAGTTGGAAGTGGTGAGTGCGCCGCCCGCGTCCGCACCCCGGAGGGGGGCCCTGCACCCCCACTCGGCGGGGCGGGACTCCGCGAGGCCGGGTGGCGCCGCGGCGCTTCCGGTGGGCGGGCGGGGCCTGGCGTTCGCGTCCGCTGCCTACCGCGGCGAATCCAGGTTGGTGCGAGCCGGTGGCTGCGCCGCGCTGCGCTTCGCAGGTCTCCCCAGGCTGCCTGGCCCGCAGGCTCTTCGGTTCTTAGGTTTGTAAGTGTGCAGCAGCTGCGTTCCGGTTTGGAGCCCAAGACCTGAGTTCTGGCGTTCTGGCGACAGGTTCCTTAAGTTCTAGTTTCTCACCCATATTCTCTCTTGTTGGGTTGATGGGAGAGAACCCAGGGCTCACAACTTCCGGAACGCCCTGGACCTGTGAGCTGTGTCCAGAGCCTCAGGTTGTGCGTTTTGTGCTGTTTAATCCGTTCATGTAATGCCATTCCTGATATGCTCAGTTTTTTTTTTTCAAAGTTTTATTGATAAACAGCAATGAGACAGATTCAAATCAAATCGGAAGTACAATTTCAACAAATAATACACTGCATATATTCTTCTTAGTGGTTAATTGCTGTACAAGATGCGGACTTGAGATCCTATTTACAAACACCATTAGAAC